TTCTTGATTCATGGAAACCTGAAAATGTGACTATGTTACAGACCAGCAAGCACACCATAGTTTTGCTGTGTTTTAAAGACTTTTTTCTTTAGAGGTACATTGCTTGATTTTTCTGTTTAAAGCTGCACAGCTTGCAGTGATGCATTGTATGGGAGAACTTTATTTTCTCCTGGAGATTATGAATGTAGAGGTTTGACTTTGAGGGCTCCCACAAGTCAGCTAGTGCAGCCAATCACACTTTCCATTTGATATCTAGTCTGCAGCCCAGGTGCAGTCACAGTATGGATTGTCCACAGCTCAGTGACATGCTGTTGCTGTGGCAGCTTTCATATAGCTATGGCTTTTTTGAGAGGCAGTACAAGAAGTTGCTAAAGGCCATGTTAGGTATTCCAGCTGAGGTTGTTACCCAGAGAATGTGAAGGCATGAGATTGAACAGGGAATGCACCAACTTCAGAAGGAGCTGCAGGAAAAGATGCTGTTGTGAATAGATGCAGTCTCTTATAGTGGTTGAATGCTTTTGGTTCAACAGCTGTTCTAGAAGTGACCTACAACCAAAGCAGGGACTGTATATTGTGGAGATGGGTATGTAGCTGTGGACCCAGAGCTGTGCAAGGAACTCGTGCTGCCCCTGGATATATGAGCATAAGAATGAGAATGGCAGTTACAAGTTAGAAACGCATGGCTTTCCCCTTTTGGAATTTGACCGTGGCTGATTTAACTGCTGTCAAGTCCTGTGGATTTTGTGGGGATGTGGTTTGGCAACAATTTCTGTATCTTGCTACATACGCCAAGTTATTTGTGTATGAAACTTTAAAATTGTTATGTGTAGATACATGGCTCACTCTTCTTCAATTTCCAAGGAAGTATATTGTTAAAAATCATACTGTTCACTTGTGAGGTAGGCCTTGGTAGATCAGAAGTTTGGGAAACCTTTTTCTAAAACGGGTTCCCAACCCTCGGACCGTGAAGAGTTGGCTGCCAATCTGCAGGAGGGTTGGCTGCCGGACCGGAAATTCAGAAGTGACTGGCATACTGTGAACCAGCAGCCAACCCCTTTTCATATTGAGTATAAAAAAGGGTTGGGTGCCTGCTCGCAGTATGCCGGCCACTTCCGGTCCATGGTTTGCCGGTCCACAGCATAAAAAGGTTGGGGAACCCCAGTTTCAAAACACTGGGGAAACTCATCCAGACCTTAGCTAGAAAGCTGTTGTTGAGTAATGTAGGATTTGGAGGCTAATGTCTTGGGGGCTCCAACATGAAAGGTACTTCTTGTCATTTAAAAAAAGAGAGTGGAGACTGGCAGGAACAGTTCATACTACAGCAAGACTAATGAGTAGCAGAAATTCTCAGTGCAAAAAAAAGTCAGAGATTATTGCAGTATCAAGGGCACACATTAATCCTAGCCAAGTCTCTGCAAGGCCAAGATTCTTAAGAATTTTCCATCTTAAACATACTGTTTGAAGAATAAGAACAGGCAAAGAAATTGTCAGTTTCTATGTATGGCCTTCTGTATGCCTTGGAGAAGCAGACACTTGAATGCAAAAATTAACATTCCCTAGTCCTTTTCAGTGTATATAATAACAGAGCTTTGAAGTTCTCTTAACTTTCTCTTCTAAATGCTTCTCAATAAATCAACATCTATTATAAATTGTAAATTTTTATTTTAAGTGTTTAAACTTTTTACAGAAAATCCAATTCTTTGGCAAGTATCTTTTTGGATTTCTTTTTAAGGAACAATTTCTAAAATAAGTTACTTTTCCATTAGGAACTTTTGTTTGAATGTTGATCTGATCTAGTTTCTTGTGAGACTGAAATGTGTCTAGAGTACAGCTTGGCCTAATACAGACTACAAAACAATTTTGGGGGTGTCCAAGCAAGGAAAAGCCTTTTTCTATGGAGTGGTATTGGCAGTAGGTTTGGAGGGACTGACTTTCATCACTTCCTGCCAGAAACTAAGTTTTGTCAAAGTGTCTGTAGCTGATTGGGTGGGGGTGGGGGCATGCAGAAGGGAAGTAGGGAAAAGGTGAGTGCTGAGTATAACCTTAAGAGTAAGGGTCAACTCAAGGAGGTGGCCAGCCAATTTCATGGGGAGATTGTGGGGCTGGCTGCCATTTTCACAGGCTGATTGTGGTCGCCCCCGCCCCCCCGCCACCTCTATCCAAGGGGCCTTGGTGGCCTCACCCCTTGCCACTGATTGGTTGCAAGGACTGTCTGTCACTTGTCCCCCTCACCCATTGGTAGAGAGGGGCAGAGCTGCAGAACAGGCAGCACTCTCAGCCAATCAGCAGTGAGGGGTAGGGGCAGTAGTCATCTTGGACTTCCCTTTGGTTTGGCAGTCCCTCTCCTTCCC